GGAAGAGCTGTACGCGTCCGTCGCGTCTGCCTGGAGCGGCCGTATGGCACCAGTGCAGCAAAACTGATGCTTTGGGTGGTGTCAAGCTTTTTTGCTTGCACATACGTGTTTTTGACTGGGAAAAACACACGCCACCTGCTTCCCAGAAATACCAGTTTCCCCCAATGGAAATACCTGGATACCGAGGTGTGAGGAAGGGCAGCGGTTAGTGGAAAGGTGATACAATAGCCAACAGACACACCTTCACCTTTTGAATGTTTTGACACAGTAGTCAAATACAACTTAGGAGAGTGTAGTATTATTTTTAACGTGTAGTATTTCTTTTTTCACCAGCAGGGAGGAACTTGTTTGTCTTCAGTTGCACTGTGTTTTCTTCTGCAGAGGTGGGACCATGGCGATCGACTGGGTTGGTTTTGCATATGCTGCGTTGCTGGCTGTTGGAGGTGTTGTAGGATACACGCGCAAAGGTACATACTGGGACAGCGGGGTTTGGAAACGAAGCATTTTGGTTTCTTCTCTGCTACGCTTCGTAAAAAAGATTCAATGCAAGACGTGAAAACTTTGCTATAATGAACATGACCGCATCTGAAATCCATCCTGCTCTGCTATGAATGAGCTGAGTCTCATGGGATTTACTTGGGCCAACTTAAGCCTTGAAGTGGTCACTTTTTTATGTTAATCTAACTGATGAGTTTGTTTTCAGGGCAAAAAGGGGCTGTCATCTTATCTTTGACCTTCAGTGTACTTTGGTCCTTCTCATTTCCTTTAATCATTCCTGTGTTGGGCACAGGAGATGATCTTTGATTAAAGATTATTTTTTACAGAGGCATCCGGGCTTCATTCTGAGATTTCCAGATGCACACTGGAAAGAAAACCCCGTACTTGCATATTCTGATCTGGTGGTTAATTACCCCTCAGATACTAACTCCAAGACAATCAGCTTTTAGGTTATAGTGTACTATGAAGCACGTTTTCCTTATTTGAGTCACTTTTGCGTGGCGTCCAGGCAGAGGTTGCAGCCGAAGCGAGGACGGGCAGGTGGAATCTCCAGGCTGGGCCCCCTTGGCTCTCCCACAGGGTGCGCGTCCTGGCAGCGCGTCAGTCTTCTCCGCCATGGCCGCTACCCATCGCGATTCTTGTGATGCAGGGTCACTGTTCGCCTGCGCAGCGTGCACATGCTTTGCTCTTAGCGATACGGCTTTCTAGCTGGCTTTCTGAAAACACGTGCTGTGTTTCATTGTTTGTATGCAGCTGTGCTCACTGACCATCCCATTTGCTTGTTCTTTTCACTCTTCAATAGTTGGTCAGTCCTTGGGGCAAATCTAGGTTATTTTTATGGGTAATTATTTCTGTTTTCTTGCAAATTCTTGATTAAAAATATTCAGTATAACAGGACTGGGAGCTAAATGACATCTGGGGATCTGGATTCTTTATTTATAAAGATTTTGGTATCAGCTTAAGCCAAGTAGTGTCTGCTGTGCTGACTCTATGCTTTTACCATACAGTACCGAGTCAAGTGCCTATTCAGACACCTGGGTATATTACTGAAACTCTGGGTTTTATGAACCACTTTTATAATAGCACTGAATGAAGATGTCGAGTTATTTTTAAAAGCCATATTTTCATCTTCATTTTCATCTAATTGTTTTAACTCTTTTTTAATGCTTTATTAATTAAATGTGATGTTGGTGATGCCACTTCTTTGTCCAGGACTGATGTCAGACTGAAAGGCTTATGACTGCATGTGTTGTCCTGTTTACCCTTATATATATATAGACACATTTCGACTATTTTTGGAGACTCCCAAGTGCTGTAAGGTATAGTTAAAATATACATATTAAATATAAAACATCTATAAATAGAAAACATATATATAAAATATACAAATATATATAATTAGACAGTCCAGAGAAGTTACAAAAAATGCTTCTAAAGGTATGTATGTTAGAGAAAATAGCCAAGTTTAGGTTTGTGCTTCAAAAATTATTTTTCCCAAATTGCATTATTAGATTCTCTTCGTCTCCCTGTAATTTAGTCAACTCTGTCCCTAATGCCATGCAAGAGAATGACTTAGTTACAGAAATATTACCTTTCTATTCACATTGGGTGAGCTAACTGCACTGTGGCAAAACTGGTTCTATTTTTAAAATATTACTGTGTAGAGAGAGAACTACTGTGTAAAGAATGAGCCTTAAGACGTTGTATTGAGAAATAACACATGAATGGTTTCTTGCAGGTAGTAAAATCTCTTTAGCTGCTGGTCTCACCTTTGGTTCTGTGGCTGGTTACGGAGCTTACTGCGTAACACTTGATCCAAGAAATGTGAAGATATCATTGTGTAAGTGTTTTACTATAGTAAACAAAATAACCATCAACAACAAAACAAAGCAGTTTCCAGGATTGCATGTAAAAATCTCTCTTATATCAAATTTTGAGCATTGCTTTGGTTTAAATGTTGTTTTTTTTAAAATGGAGTTAGACACTTCAACTTAGCTTGCAGAATTCAAGAGCTTAATGTGGAACTGTTTGCAAGATAAGGCAGATCATTCACACAAAGCGAGCAGGTATGTGTTACCACCTGGCAGCGCCTCCTTTTATTAGATGGTTACCTAACATTGCAAATATTGTGAAATCCAGCTGAGAGACATGAGAAAATCATTAGAGCTACAGATTAGAGTGTAATATGAGAAGTAAAGTAGGTGAGGGATCCAGTCTTGCATAATGTAACGTATCCTCAGCTCCCAGTGAAACAAACAGTATGACTTAGTGTTTTTCCTTTGCTGTTAAGAAGGAGAGGCTACAAACTAGGCAATAACTGTCACGTTAGCTAGTGTGCCATGAAACCCCCATAGAGGCAGGAAACTACAGTCTATAAGGAGCACAGAGTTAACCTCGCACAGTTGATTTGCAGTAAGAGCTATTGGCAGCTTGTCTCACTCACGGTTTTAGCAAGGTGGCTTAGGCTGTGGTTTCACGTGCAGAAACGCATTTAAAATACATTTAATCCAGATTGTGTGAGTACACAATCTCTTCTTCTGAATTTAGTTAGAATTTGTGGTATACTGTTTGTGCTGGCTTTGTGCTTTACACCGGCCACAGTTGTAAAAATTACCATTTCAAAAAAATGTTGAATAGCATTGTTAGCAAAGTGTGTTCCCACCAACCGAGTTCTTTAGTGGTGGTGGTAATGGTATACCTGATCTGCTCCTAGATGGCCTAAAATTGGATATTCCGGTTTTGCCACTGTGACCTTGCTCAGATTAAGTTATCCCATTGTTAAAAATCCCCACCTTTTCTGGAATGAAGACATAGCCTTAATTATATGTAAATTTGTAGACATTCTGTGTGAGGTGATTTTAAGTAGCCTACAGTCTTGTACTTTTATGGGTCAATTAAATCACTAATTTGGATAGAGTTTCTGGAAGAGAAGACCAATTAAAACTTACTAAATGTTGCCTGTTTCCCAATTCGCTGGTCTTGAAAGGACTAATACAAAATTTCTACTAATCTGCTTGTGAACGTCAGATACACTAGAATATTGTCAGTGTTGTGCCTTTCATGTAGCTGTAGGCATGTGAGGACTTTCAGATGGAGAAATGTATATTACTAATTTAATAGAAATTATAGCAATACAGATGAGAGAGAGTGCACTACACCTGCTTTAGAAAGTTCTTATTATGTAGAGTAAAAGGAACAAAGACTTTTTAAAGCAGTCTAAGTTCAGAATGTTTACAAAGTAATGTTGTCATTGCTTAAAATCTAAACATATATTGAACCTTGGCTGTGAAAGGGTGGCCTCTTCAAGATCTACCTCTGCGGAATGAAACAAATAAGGTGGTCTGAACTAACTGGTAATTTTTGCCTGAAGTGAGTTAGGAAGTTTGCATACAAAGTGCTCTGCCAGAGCCAGCCATTCAGGCTGGTTTTCATCTCTTCCAGGCTGATGTATCTCAGTCTGGAAGAAGGCTTCTTCTGGCTTCTGTATACACAGAAAGCTCAAATGAGTGAAGAACTCAGTAGGAAGACTTCAGAGGAAGGGACAGTTAGAGACAGTCAGAAACATCTACAGGTCCACACCCTAAAAACCTTTGGTGGCTACTGTATTTGCTACTTTCAGAATAATAAGGGGCTTTTGTAATAAATGTGTATTGCTTTTGCAGAAAACGAGAATGTTTTCAGTTATGCCTTAGCTGCTGAAGTGCCAAAAGCAGCTAGAGTACAAATGAACGAAGGAAATAAAGTGCATGGAAGAAAGTGACCACTCTGAACTTAGACACCAGTAAATTGCAACGTAAAATAAACCAAACTTTTAAAAGGGGGGGGGGGAACCCCC